GATGCTGAAATGTGTTGCGTTACTGCGATGTGGTACACTGAGTTCATAAAACTGTCCGTGAAGACGATGGTTAGGGAACTTAAATGTGATTAAAACAGCAACGTTGGGGTTCTATCAGTAGTCTGAATATCTGCTGTCTGATGTTTAACTGATAAAACTTCATCTACACTCTGATCTTTAACGTGTTGCTGGACACTCGGTTGTTTAATGACTGATGCACATGTTGTAGTCCGTCTTACTGATTGGAAGAATAAACACCTAGAATAACACCAAAGTAGTGACTGACATTACAGTTAACATTTAAAATGCAGCACAGAGCGGCTGAAAAAAAAAAAATCTTCTTCCCAAAGTGTGAAGCAACTACAGGTCTTTGTTTCTTTAGGTGCTTGGAAAACTATACATGAAATAGGAAGTGTTTCCAGGGTTGATTTAAATGAACCTCTGCTGTTGTTGCTGATGCTGTGATGTCTGTCTTCACCTCAGGTGTGTCTCATGTCTGCTGAAGATCTTCTGAGTGAAGCCAGCAGAAGGAAAACCTCATCTGGAGCCGTTCATGTGGTTGTGAAGGAGAATGAATGGACGTCATCCTCAATGAACCACTTCCAGTTCAGCTTTCACATACAGAGGGACAGAGAAGCTGTCTCTATTCTTAGTGTTCACAGGTTCATTTATCGCATTTAACTTCATCTCTGCTGTTGTTGCATCATTGCAATACGGAGAACATGCTGCTGTCATTTATAGCAGAGATGCAGCATTGAAACATGAACACATTCAGGACAAGAGCTTCATTAATATCTTTACTGCACATTTAAAAACTACATTATTTAGCTGTTGTGAACTGGAAAGATGTGCCAAAGTATGTAATGAATGGATGAAATAAAGGTGTTGCCCAGCTTACAGTGGAGTGTAAATACTTAACAGTCATAAGATAAGTGTGCTCTATGAAAAGAGGACATTATTATTGTTACTGGAATAGATGAGGAGGACATCAGTGCAGCTCTTCCTCACAGGGATGAAGAAGGAGAGAAGACTCTTCACCTCAGACAACCTCAGCTGGATGTTCGTGATCTCTGTAGCTCATAGATCACATCAGACTAGATGTTCCCAGTGATCCACATCATGGCTGGAAGGAAAAGACACAAACAGTGAGACAAAGATCTACAAGGTTCTTTCATTCCAACCGCTGGAACATTAAATATGAGAGTGAACACAGCAGGATGTGACTGTAGCATGACATAAAGTGGGATGTTTTTGACAAATTTTAGGAAATGTTTGTTTCCCTGGATGAAGCCAAAGAACATTTTACTGCCTTAGAAGGACAATAAAGTTGATTCTTTTCATTCTAAAGTATGATAATGTGATTAACAGAGAAAAAGGGAAACCAGCACTATGATGACATGAGCTCCTCAGTTATCTGATTAACACTGCAGTAGAGAAAACAGTCTGCTGGACTGATTTACATTAAATAACTGTGGCTGAGCTCTGAGGTTCAGTGTGATGCTCATGTCATGGTGATCAGACCTCAGTAGCTTCACTGTTTCTGGAAGATAAGGAATCCTTTCAGCAGATGTTCGTCGCAGTGAAATGAACAGAAGCTGTTAAAAACCAGAGAACATGAACTGAGACATTAACACTAATCAGTGTTCTGTGGTTTAAAAATAAACCAAATTTATTTAAGAGATGTGTTATAATATCACTCAGTAATAGTCAGGTAACACAACAACCTTTAGTTTATCCATATCATTCTCTTGAGGTTCATTTTTACCATTTTTACCATTTAAATCGAGGGGTATACTGACATAAAAAAAGGCCCAGAGGCCCACACCAAAAACATTAAAACCAATGTTTTAATGGATAGGGAAGTCTAACAAGGTAACCAAGAGATGAGAAAAAAAATTGAATGATAGAAAATTGTTTTTAGTGTATTTTACAGCTGATTTAAGACACGGGTCAAAACCGACCCGTTAACACCGGGTATGGTAACAGAAAGGAAGGTTAACGTTAGCTTGGTTTAGTTTCTGCTGATCATTCCTGTCTTCCATGAGACAGCAGCAGTTAACGGGCTGTCATAACGTTATCGATCCGTTATGATTGATCAGCTGTGACCTACAGGAGACAACAGGTAACTCATTTATAACGCTGACAAACCTGTTGTAGCATCAACCGCAGCAGGACTTCGAGGTCTCCATCAAAAACATGGAAACATGGGCCATGTCATGGGGAGACATGATGGACGATTTTGATGAGCTGAAAGAAAAGCTCAAAGTCAAAGAGAGAGAAATCCTCAGACTTAAAAAGGAGAATGGGACTCTCCCTGCTGCTCTTGAAGCTCCCCAGAATGTCCAGAGAGACGAAATCAGATCTCTGGAGCTGCAGGAGCAGAAGAAAGCCGTCAACGAGGAGAGAAAGGACTCCAGGAGAAGTATAAAGAACTAGAGCAAGAAAAGAATCACATGGAGGTTAGCAATGAAAACCTCCAGAATGAGAATGAAGAGCTGAAGCAGCAGAGAGCAGAGCTGGAGGACAGAAACCAGGAGCTGCAGGAAGACAAGACCAGACTGCAGCTTGAGATGCAAGAACTGGAGGAGAACAAGAAAAAGAAGAAAAAGGTGGGCTGTTGGAGATGGTTGTCCAGGAAGTAGTGACCAGGAGGAGGCTCTTGAGCTTCCTCTGAATCCCCCCTTTCTCACCCTTCACCTCCTCCTTCTACTTCCCCCTCCATCATCACCTCTCTGCCTTTGCCTCCACCATCCATCCGTCCTCCTTCTCCACCTCTCCATCCTCCCTCCATCATCCAAAGAAACCTTTCCTCCTTCCCTCAACCTCCCAGATGTTCTCTCTACCTCACCCCCTTTGTCTTTCTATCTCCTTCTCTCACCCCATCTTCTCTCCCCCCTCTACCTTCTCTCTATCTACCCTCTCTATTAAACGCCATTCATTGATTTAAAAAAAAAAAAAAAATTCCAAAAATATTCAAAATATTCAAAAAAATAAATAAAAATAAAATAGAAAAACAAGTCAAATCAAATTAATAAAGTTATGGTGAATGTGACCTTAACGCACCCTTTTGGGTGCTCGGACCCTAACAACCTCTGCAGAGATGCTTCCCACCTCAACAGGAGTTAAGTCAAATTAAAATGATTCTAACTGTATTTAATGCATCAGAAAAAGTGCATGTGCTGTGATTTGTGTTGGATTATGGCCACCATCCAATGATGAGTTGAGGGGACATTAACAGATAATTTGGAGTAAAACAGATCAGATTGATTAAACCTGACAAAGCAGTGCAAATTAACAAGTCACATGGATGTTGGTGTGTACAGATAAAGGCTGTCCAACATAACAGTACAAAAGAACATGTAATGTGACTAAAACAGGGACCAGTGTGAACTACAAAACCAACCAGACTGGTTTATAAAAGCTGCTGGAGATGCTGTGGATGCTCTTTGTTACTAATTGCTCCAAGCTGGGGACCTACTCATCTACGGGGAATGACTTTTGAGGCCGAGTGACTCTCTCTTTCCCCACAGGGTTCACTGCTCTGTACTCTGGCCTGACTCCTACCCTGCCAACGGAGGAGCCCTCCTCCTGGCATACGAGTTGAGTCGCAAATTCATCATGGAGGCGGTCGGTGCCAGACGTGGAGGATCTTTCCACTTGAAGCAGATATTCTGTTAAAGCACTACCTCTTCTTGTAGTATTTTAAAAATTATATACGTTTTATGGGGTCTTAATAGTTGATGGGACTTGATTTGAAAATGGTGTAAATATTAGTGTTTCTATTATGATTTTATTAGAAAATTATGATCACAGTATGAACATTGTGTGTCTGTCATTTTAAATAAAGTTTTAGTCCTAACACTTACGACTGTTAATGGTGTCTGAACATGTTTTTAAAAAAACTAAGAAAATAAAAAAAGAGAGAGGAAAATGAACATATGTCAGCTCAACATGTCCTCCAAGCAGGTCAGCTAACTTTTTCTTTACTAAATAATCAATTACATTTAAAAGTGATAAACCTAGCCTAAAGCTCTTTGTTTTCTCCCTGAAGTAAATGTAAAAAAAACCCCAAAACATGCCATTTGGAGTACAAATACTTTGCCATTAACCTGCTTTTGAATTAGTTTATATCTTACATTTATTCCTTAACTTTCTTTACCTGAAGCATCCTCTTCAACAACAACAAGGCCCTTACTTGAAAACTAAAACCATTTATTTCATACGAATATGAGCAATATAAGATTGTATGTTAAAGGCTAGAATTAATTTAGAATCTCCATTTGCACTCTGTGAAATCAGACGTCAGCATCAAGTCTGAGGCCTCGAAACTTCGTCCATTAAGTCCATAAAAAACAACACTTTGATCACAGCTGCATTTCAAACTCGCCTACTTCAATAAAATTAGATTAAGTAGAGTGTTGTGTGTGGTACAGTCAACTACTGCACCTGGATTTGCAAACACATCATGTCATGAGCTGACATGCAAATAAGTAGCATGTGACGGTCGATTCAGGACCTGACTGGAAAATTACAGTCAGGAGCTGCTTTCATGTTAGTCCTTATTGCTCACACACACTATGTTCTGATCAACTTCCTGCCATACAGGTTACCTTCACTTTAAATTCCATGCAATAAATGTGTATATTTTTATCTAACTCTTTCATTTAGTAAAAAGTGGGACATCTATGGGGGAAAATGTGGGGAAACTTTCCTCATAAGAGAAGCAGTGAGCATGATCACATCTTCTTTCTCCACTGTGTCTCATGTTTCACGACTTGGACACCGCTGATTACTTATTTATAACCTGCACTCAACAGGTGACAGACTCCTGGGCCTGAATATAATGAAATAGCACGATAGCTGAACTCGAAGCTGTCCAACACCAGAGTCACGCAGGAGCTGCTAGACTCCATGTTTCACGTTACCGGCTTGGCGCCCGCTAGGTGACTGAGTCACACACCCTGTGAGAGTTGGAGTTCATGTGTGTGTTTGTCAGACTCGTGAAGGGGGCAGCAGACAGACCGCACCCTGCAGGGAGAACAGACGGGTAAACAAACGCTGCGCCGCTTCACCTGCTGCATCGACTCCACCGACTTCCTGCTCATGATCTCCACGACGTCCAGCACAGCAGAGATGGTCACACAGAGAAAACTGGACATCAGCGAGGAAAATGTTGAAGGTAAACTTTACTTTATAGGATTTTTCAAAAAATGAGTTTTATATTTTGACTGTCATTAGATGTGAAGTGGTAATTTTTGCTCACCAAAAGACACCAAATTAGAGGGGGAAGTTTGGATTAATCAGGGCTTTAAAGGCCCAAAGACAGCTGATTCTATGGAGCCCTGACCTGTAGGAGTTACGTTTCAGAAAACCGGCCCTCTTTGACACAACAGCACTGTTGTGTCAAGTATTTTTTCTTTATAATTATATTTGTATCTTTGTTTTTATTCCTGCTGCTCTTACCTTTCTTAATTGTATGCTATTTAATTTTCTTTTCATTCTTTTTCCTGTATATAAAGCTGTGAATATACACAGCTTTATATACAGGTCCCACGGGATCATTTTAGTGTTTAATTATGTCAACAAGCTGAGTGCGATGCCTGTCAGTCTGAAATCTAAATGCTCACAAGTAGCTGCACTGCAAACCTGTCGAGTATCTCCACTCTCTCTACAGACACATCAGGGAAACTGCAATGTTGCGGTTGGCTGTTGGTGATTGTGTCCTTCATCTTAGCGGTGCTGACCTGCCCGATCACAATATTAATGAGTGTTAAGGTGGAGTATCTTCTCATCGCACTACTGTGTAGGGTTTAATCACTACTTGCTGTTGAAATGTGACACAGATTGCATTTATTTTGTTGGTGTGGCTACACGTGATGAGGTATGATGGTTGATGGTTGGTTGTCTCTAACCTACAGATAGTGAAGGAATATGAGCGAGCCGTCATTTTTAGACTCGGCCGGATATCAGACAGGAAACCCAAAGGGCCAGGTTTGTTACTGGACACTAATATACATGTGGGAAAACCATTCCAGAAACTGATTTCACTGGCTGAAAACTTAGCAACTGTATTCCAAAACTATGATCTAATGACATTTGTTGCTTTCCAGGACTGTTTATGATTTTGCCCTGCACCGACACCTTCGTGAAAGTCGATCTGAGAACTGTGTCCTTTGACATCCCTCCACAAGAGGTACGTCATGTCTCTCTCAAAATCTCCTGTTTCTCAGTCTATCTAAGTTTTGTGGGCGAATTAAATCACTTAATAAAATAATAAATAGAATATTTTAACCTCTGCAGATCCTAACCAAGGACTCGGTGACCGTGTCTGTGGATGGTGTGGTTTACTTCCGTATATACTGCCCAATCTCAGCTGTGACCAAAGTGTCCAACGCGCACTCGTCTACACGGCTGCTCGCTCAAACCACTCTGAGGAACGTGCTTGGGACCAAAAACCTTGCAGAGCTTCTATCCGACAGAGAGGGTATTTCACTCAGCATGCAGGTGAAGAGAACTCAACCATTCAAGTTCAGCTGCTAGAATTATCTCTGATTTAAATGTTTAAGATCATCACTTCTACTTTAGCCTTGATTTAAACAACCTTAAAAAAAAAACTTTCCTTATAATTTATGACACTTTTCCCCCCTAATTTTCTGTCGTTTCCCAAGAACTATTCTATTTAAGTCTAATTGTTGTTGCAAAGCCTTGAGAGCAGTCACTTTGCATTTCACTGCACACCCTGCATGAGCATGTGACAATTAAAAACTCAAATCTTGAAATACAATGTGTAGCTGCTTTCCAAATGCCCTGTGCAGCCTTCTTTGTAGTGGTGCAGATGTTAGAAGTCCACTACTTACGTCATCACCCTCCAAGTTTCCCTTACATTACTGTGTTCATTTTGACCAGCTGTGCAAGTTACAGGGAAAACATGAGTGGTGAGGGAAAATGTAAAAGAAATGCTCGACAAAAAACAAAAACGCAAACGTTTATAAGCGAACAAGCTCTAATTCTGGAGTAATCTGTTACTTTCCCGCTGCATTAGCTGTTTGATTTGGCTACTAAAGGCAAGAAAAACTCCAAAACAGCTGCGACTGACACAATTTCCGTATAACAAGTGGACAAATGCACCATAAAACCAAAATAGTAATCTAATGCAGGCTAAAAGGCTCCACAGATCTGAAGAGTTGGCTGCTAAATTTAATCTATATTTGATTTGTTGTCTATTAAAACAGAGCTGTTGAATGTAACTGGAGTATTTGCTTTTTAAATATCACCCTGCAGGAATCGCTGGACGAAGCCACTGATCCGTGGGGAATCAAGGTGGAGCGTGTGGAGATCAAGGATGTGAAGCTGCCTCACCAGCTGCAGCGAGCCATGGCAGCAGAGGCAGAGGCCAGCCGGGAGGCCAGGGCCAAGGTGAGCCACATTCAACCTCATTTCCTTTTTTTTTTTTTTTTTTACGTCCTCTTAAAATTAAAATGAAAGATGGAAGTAATGTTGGCTCATGTTTCAGATCATCGCCGCAGAGGGAGAGATGAAGGCCTCCCGCGCTCTTAAAGAAGCTTCCATTGTGATGGCCGAGGCGCCCTCTGCTCTCCAGCTGCGATACCTGCAGACTCTCAACACCATCGCAGCGGAGAAGAACTCCACCATCGTCTTCCCTCTGCCTATAGACATGCTGCAGTCTTTTATGCAGAGAAAGTGATGATAAAACAAGCTAAAATAACTCAGATTTGCACTGATATGATTGCAGTTAGAAAGCTTGTGTGGCATCTGTCGCTAAAGCCTTTGTGTGTTCACTGCATTATTACCTCAGAAGTTTCCCATATTTTGCTAAGAAAGAAAGAGCTCTATATCATAATCCTATATTTAAACGCATATCCACATTAAAATCTCATATTTGTACACTTATTGTGTATACTTAGTGTGATTTAATACTTAAATACAAAGTGCAACATATACAGTATAGACATAAATTCTTATCATTGACCACAATATTTTAACCAGCTAAGCTACAGTTGCAGTTCTGGAGGATTGGAGGACAAATAAATAAACAATGAAATGTCAAACAAATCGTACACAACAACCGTATGAAGACATGCTTTCATATAAACTTATCCAGTGCATGAATCTCTGAAATACTGAACACAATCTTTTACAACGCAAGTCCTGTAAACAATCAACAGAAGTCACGACATCCACGCGATGCACCGACCTTCCTCCTCTTGACATTGAGATGTAAACTGTAAACAAAAACTCTTATTCTAGTGTCGCACAAACATTCAGTAAATGAGTACAAGGTCATGTCCACAGGACACAGAGGCAATCAGTGCAATCGGAGTACCTGATGGAGAGAAACGTCCTTTCGGCTTCCTTTTATAGAACAAACCCACCAGCGAACAAGTTAAACGTAAGAAACTTGTTGGCCAAACAGCAAATTTGAACATTTCATATCTGAGGGGTTCAGTAAAAGAAATATGGCTTTATTACAATAAAAGATTAATGTAATAAAACACTATTTCTACTCATGTTAATACATTTCCTGACTACACTACACTCTTTACATCCAAATAATGCTATACAAAGAAGGTATCGCAGAGCAGGCCTTCGAGACGAGCGGTTATGTAAACATAGCAGAGAAGTACATTTAATGGAAAACAAAAACAAAAAAAGAGTTACGGCAGTTGCTTAATTCTCCTCAAGACCTGAGATTATTCTCGACAATGAGAAAATGAGGTAACACTGCAAGCTGATTTTTGTTTTTGAAAAGATGATTTAGCAAATTGTGGATGACGGGAATTTAGCCAGAAGTCAATTGAAGGGTTCAAATGGAGAATACAAGTTCGGGTTTTCTGTGGAGAATACACAGAGAACAGCAACAACTGTGGGCAGCTGCTGGAGCACTGATGCTCTTAATGAGAAGGGAAAGAGAAAAGAAGTAGATTAACAATGCAGGAGGACAGATTTACATTTCGCAACGTCTGCACCGTTCACGGCTGATTCCGCAGCTCCAAACATATGACGGCTACAGTACACGATGAACTGCTGTGTTGAATGATTTCCTCTTTGGTGGTTTTTACAGATCCTGCATTTTTATATTTTCTGAACCCGACTGAAGGCGAGGGACACCAACTCACTCAGTCTGAAATCTATAATACAGTGATTATTTCTTGAGTTACTTTTTAATAGATCCTGTTCAGTTTGTTGCCCCTTTGCCCTTCCGCTCCACATCGCCACAATCCTAAAGTAAAGTTCGTTATAACTGGAAGACAGACCATGCTTTAAAGAGAGCAATACCTGTACAATTTATAGTTCTTCAGTAATAAATATTACACTGTGTTGGCAGTTCAGTGGATTCATGTTTTGTCATGATAGCTAGCTGTTTCAGAAGACAGTAGGATGGATGATTGAGGTTTAAATGGCAGTCATTCATACACTCCCAACATATGAATTGTTTTTGGCATGAAAAGGTTAACATGCCACAGAGAAGGATTCACTCTTTGAGAGGAACTCACTGTAGGTAGTTTTGTGATAGATTTGTTTTTTTTACCCAAAGTATTGCCTGTGCCCTGGTAAACGTTGCTGGTGGGAGAGAATGGACGGCAAAAGGCGCTTCTTGTGTTTGTCGTTTGCACTTTTGATGTTCGCTATGTCTTGTTCATCCATCATCCTGAGCGCTGGATGAGAAGATGGAGATGCGGATGGAGGCGAAAACATAGAACTGAGGCACCGTGACTTTTGATTCTGCTCTCTGAAATCTACAATGACCAGGTCTCTGTGGGGGGGCGTCGGCGTGGAATAGAAAAAAAAAAAAAAAAGTGGAGAATTCCCTCTTGAATAATAAGAGGTGTGATCATTAATACAATTCGTTGGGTCAAAGGTTAAAATTCCTGGGGTTCAACTTTGGAAATGCATCACGTTTGTGTCCTTCCCTTTAAACTGAGAGGAACATTCATCAGAGTTTGTAAAAAAAAAGAAAAATATCAGGGCGTCTGACACTAAATTAAAAGAAAGCGTTAGATAGAAGAGCTTCCATGAGAGTGTCATTGATGGTAGGAGTGTGGCCGGGCGGGGGAGCCTGGTCCCGAGGAGGGCCGATGGATGGGGGAGGAAGTCGGGGACATACGAGGGCTTAGCTCGCCCGTCTGCAGACGCCACAGCAGCTCCTCGTTGGTGCGACTCAGACGCTTCTTCTCGTTGCTCTCCTTCTCCACGTTCACTTGCAAGTTGGCGTTTTCCTCCGAGAGTTGCCTGAAGAGGAAAAGGGACAAAAACAAGTGTTTGCTGTATTTGCCTAAATCTGTCCACTCTCCATACACAGACAGTGTAATACCTGATACTGGGTTTGTTTTGTGTTTCTGTGAAATGTACCACATCACTAAATGGAGATGAACAAGACAAGTTGATGGAAAATAGGGACACAAAATCCTTCTGAATTACTTTTAACATTACAGATTCTGCAAAGCATGCATATTTTCATAATAAAGCTGTGCAGCATTTGGTGTGCAGGCCTGTGATAAGCAAATGTCCGATTTAGTTAATTAAGCTGGAAATAGTCTTTTAATTCCTGCATCTGCTTCAGAGCAACAGGTTGCATCATCAGCTCAGAACCGTCTGTCTTCAGTCAGCAAAAATCTTCTCAACACATACTGTAAGTAATATAACCAAATTACAAAGACTTCTGAACCAGCTAGATTCACCTGTGAACTGTAAACTGACCTGGACACAGCGAGATTCTTGTCTATTCGTTCCTTCAGGTCTTCGTTCTGCTGCTGTAACACCTGTACTCGCTCCTCCAGGTACACATTCTTTTCAGCCTGCTCAAAAACACAGGTGAGAAGTGCACAACATTAAATTCTTCAAATGATGAACGCCGGTCTAGAACAAGTGAAACAGGGATTTATGATCGATGGTGTTAGTTTACAAAGGACACATCTGTCCCAGTGAAGACAGGGTGTGTAAATGGGAGGGCTGCAGTATTGATGCACTTCGAGACTAAGAGTCTAAGAGTGAAATCATTCATAAATCTCAACAAGCTGCCACGACTCTTATTGACTTTTTGCCATTGTATGCTGCTGTTGGGCTGCCTGACATGTCAGGCATCACTGACGTTTAAACATCTAACTTTTATTGGTGAGTTTAATCCTTTTACTTCTCATACAAGCCACCTTGAAACTAACACCATGATCCCTTCGGTGCTAAACTAAAGCAGAAACTCGAAGCCTACTATTTTCTCCAGCTCTGAAATCTTCAGCTCCTGCTGATGGATTTGTTGATTTTTCATCTCCAGAACTTCTTTCAGGCTCTTCAGGTCCTCCTCAATGTGTTTATATGGGGCCAAAGCATCCTGGAAAGAACAGCAAAACCTACAATCAATCTTTAAAACCAACTAACAATACTTTCTTTACCCTGGCGTTTAATGCTGCTACACTCTGCAGAGCATTAAATGCATCGCTGTGTGCTGTATCATGCAGCAGTTACCACTATCTGCTCATCTGTGCTCTTGCGAAGAGCTTCTTCGAATCGCTTCGCTCGGTCTCTGAGGCTTCGATTCTGAAACGTCAGCGTGTCCACCTGATCCTGGAGACCGGACAGATGTACACTTGTTAGTTTGTCACCATCTGTAAAATGTGTCACACTATGCATCTTAAAAAAGTATGTTAATCACAGCTGCTAACCTGCAGTGACAGTCTGATCTTTTCAAACTCTTCTTCCAGAGATTTCCTCTGCTGTTCATGGGCCATCTTCAAATCTGACGCAAGAAAAATAAACATGTTATCATCTCTTCTGAGCTGCAGAGCGGTGAGTCAGTACAGCTTTTAAATGTGCTGCTTACTCTTCACAGTCCGTGCATGCTCCTCCTGCAGAGTGGCGAGTGTGTCGTTGTGAGCCGTCTCCATCTCCATCAAGGACTCCTCATGGTTCTCGCTCATCTCCTCAAGCTGCGGTCAAGATTTCGACAATTAACCATCACGAAAATAACTACCAAATGTTCCCTTCTGCAGATAAAAGCCCACATCCAGTCCATACAGGCACACCAGCATTGTTATACAGAAACTGCTGACTACGTGGACATATATCCAGTCTACCTGCTCTTGCTGTTTGAAACGTAGCTCCTCCAGCTCGGCTCGCTGTTGGGCCTGCAGGTTCTCGGTCTCGTCCATGTGCTGCGCCTTCAGCCGCTCCTCCAGCGCTCCCAGCTCCCTCTGCTGCTGGGCCCGCAATCCCTGCAGCTCAGCCTCAAAGCGACGCTCCAGTTCCTCCTTCTCCTGCTGCAGTTGCTCCCAGTGTGCGACACTGAAAGCTGGAACACAATCGCAGCTTAGATATTTCAGCTTATTCAAATTGAGGTCATGCACAAAGCAGAAAAGAAAAGGACAAAAGTTCATTTAAGTTTCTCTTGCTATAATTGTATTGTAATGACATTTGTTCATAGTGTTAAAATGTTTGAAATGAAACAACATCAACAAAGCAGCATTTCTACAGTCTCTGCTATATGCTGTTCGCTGTAGGACTAAATCCAGACGTCTACCAGCAGCGTGGACTCTCAGGGGTCACTTGTTCCTTCTGTCTCCTGTGTGCTGTTGTAATTCATCATGTGTCGTGAGCTGTGAGTGACTCGCTGCTTTCTGTCCTCCCTGTGGTGCCATATCTGTCACGCTTTACCCCACTTACCCACTTCATCCCTGATCCTGGCGAGCTCCAGGGACAGCTCCCTCTCCTTCACAATGGCACTCTCACTCTGAAATGCAAACACACACACACACACAGACACGGGACACGTCTCTAGTCAGTAATAAAAATAAATGTAAATGTTTTTGATTATGCCGTTCTCTGTGCTACATGCTAATGAAAGCTACAAAGCTGCCAAGACAATCAGAGTCAACACGTCCTCAGTTTGAACTCAGCGAAAGCTTCTGTGGTGTCACCCGCTTTGACTTGAGCTTCTTCTAGATGACATCCCAGCGAGCAGGAAATGTTCCCACAACGTTGGCAAACATTACTTACAAGTTCTAATAAGGTAATTTTCTAAGAAAACATTAAAATTTGATGCTCAAAGAAGGTTATAATGGTATTTCACATTTTAAATAATGTTCCCATAAGATTAAAAGTTCATTACCACAATGTTTTTATTGCAACATTCAGAAGAACGTTCATAAACTAATGTTTAAAACATGTCAAGATAATAATCAAGGCCTCAATGACAGAATGTTTTACACAAAATGTTCTTTTAATATGATGTTCTAACAAAACTAGAACCTTTTGCCTGCACTATTCTGATGATGTTTTGAGGGTGCTGTTGAGAGAACAATGTTCCATAAATGTTCTCCCAATGTTGTGTGATAAACAAAGAAAGGATTTTTCTAAATGCAACATTCTGAAAACGATTTCATTGTTCAAATAAGTTAAGAAAAGGAAATTAAAGAAAACATTACTAGAACTTTGCAGAACTTCCTCAGAACGTTTAAAGAACAAAACAGAATTCTAGCTGGGACACAGTTCAGGTGAATTAGATGAGCTTTGGATGTCAGCATTGTCACAAGATTTACACAAACATGACATGAAAACATTCATCAGGTCTCCTTACTCATAAAGGTGAGAGAAAAAAATGTAAGGTTCAAATCTAGAACCTTTAGAAGGTAGCATCTCTAAACAGTGAAACAAAGGGCTTCACTTTAAAAAAGAAGCAAGTGTGTTCACCATTTTGTTTATGCAGAATGAGGAGACAGGAACAAAGATGATTTAAACCCATATAGTTCAGATCACTGTTGGATTTATTTGTTGATTTGCTATTTCTGTTACTAAAAATGTCGTTGCAACACATGTCACAGGTGGAATAGAGCTTACATTCTGCTTTTTACTGTCATGCCATAGTATAGTTAAGACATGTTGGAACCAATCAGACCACATAATTAAGTAAAAAAAAAAAAAAACACAAGTCAGATTATATCTTGCACCAAAATCAGCACCAGCAATTTCAATTTCCTTTTCTTGGGTTAAAAATATGACAGAAGCATGAAAAGCAATAAAAATCAAAACTCTACGGACGTAACAACTTGGCACAATACCTGACACTAAATGTGTTTGCTGTCTGTCATGCTAGATACTGTTCTGTAAAAGTGTGAGCTGGTCGGATCACTGTGGATCTAGGAAGACATACAAACTGGGCACAACAGTCTTCATTCACTGACAAACATGATCATCATTTTCTGTGTGTTGAACCACAATTTCAATGTATTGCCACCACCTGACTAAAAGAAAGCGATGGTGGGTGTACTTGCAAGAGATTTACTTAAATCTAATGTAATTTATTGGAACTAAACTAACACAAAACAGAAAAGCTGTGTGGAATACAGCAGCAGCAGAGAATGGTTTGTGTCATGATTTCTGTGAAGGTGCAATCAGAAAAGAAAGTTGATGTCAGGTGGAGGGAAGAGAGCGACAGAGGGAAGTCAGTTTTTATAGCCGGGAAGGCAAATGTCAGCTCACTGCCTTCTCACAAAGGCGAAGCTGACCTTCCACACAGTGGGAGGAGCGTCACAGTGTGTTCTATAGCACTATAGATCACAGTAACTCTTACATCTAGCGAAATGCATCATGGAAGCCTGCAAGGGTCAATTTCAGCATTTGTTAAATTGTTTACAATGAAAATGTCGTCATGTATATTCAGGCCGTGTCTGGTATCCACTGGGGTCTCCTCAATATTCAGCCCAGACAGTTAAATGTGTATCGATCACGGCGCTAAACATGCAGCATAAAGGCAGCGCACACTGTTGCTTGGATGTAAAGCAGAAATCACAAAGCGGTGCTCACGAGAAACAAAGAAGCAGAGGGACGGAGAGGAGCCGGTGAAAAATGTATGAGATAGTAAAGAGTGTGTCTCGGCAGTAATGATGTCATCCTGTGAGAGGTTTAACTGGGAACACGCAGTCATCAGGAAACATGGAGGGTCCTCAGGAGGGATGACACATGGGCAGGAGCTTTTTCATTTCCTATGCCTGAGCTCCACCTCTGCTCCTACGCATCAATCCCCAGTCCTGCCCTGACCTCCCCCCCCCAACGTTTAGATCTCCAGGGAGTTAGTTGTGTGACATGTTTTCTAATTTTCACCAAGGCAACCTAATCCGTTTTAGTTTTGATATAGAATAATTATCCTCTCTGCTGCCAAATAGTGAAAAATGACCATTATAATTACCCAGAACCCAGAGATGACGACTTCCAGTTGCTTGACCAAAAGTCTCCAACTCAACAATATTCTATTTCCAATGATTTAAAACCAAAAAGAACCAAATCCTCACATTGGAGAAGTGAGCTGCAGCATTTATCCACGGCACATTAGAAACCATTAATGGATGATCAAAAACTGATGTCTATCATTCAATCGATTTATCATTTCAGCGCAGCTCATTTTAAAAAAAACATTGCTTTTTATAGTCGGGAGTGCTTATTCTCAAGGAGACGCTGTCATGAGTTAATTAACCTCCACCAAGTCTGCACCCATGCAATCAGCCCAGTTTCAGAGGGACCATAAAAAGATTCCAACATGCAGCTGCTTCTTCATTTAGATTGTCTGTGCTGAAGAGATTTAACACCCAAGAAAATGCACTTTGATTTAACAATGAAAACTGAACTTTTCTTCATTTTTTTTTTTGCAGAGGAGAGATTAAGCAACATCATGTAAACGGGAGAATAATGCATCCAATGTGAAAGTTCTGCAATCAGCCAGAATTAACCACCAGACACACACTGTTGACATGATGTACACACTGAAATAGCCAGATTGTTGTAAGAATACAAATCAGCAGCAATTCATATAATGTCCCTGCAAAATCTAAAGAGGAAAAGAAAATTGCACGGTGCGACACACAAGCCTGCTTTGACTCAGCATAATCATGCGGAGCTTTACACTCTCCACCGGCTCTGTCTCCAGGAAACAAGTGAACATAACCATCATATAGACAGAAACACTCAGACCCCCCCAACGAAACACACACACATGCGCACAACCCCACATACATAAAGGAATCCTCGGTGCTGAAACAAGCTCGCTGCCTGCAGAAGACACTGCCTTTTACCGTTTGGTCCAGACAGCACAGAGGGAGGAAATGGAGCCTACAGCAGCAGTGGCCCATACCAGGCTAGCAGATAGCAGCATCCCTTAGCCGGCTGGGGAGGCAGCAGTGACAGACGCGAGTGCCAGAAAGATACAGGAAAGAGAGGCAGAGGAGGAGGGAGGCAGGCAGGCAAAAGGGGGGGAGAAGGAGAGGGGAGGAGAGACGAGGGAAAAACCAAAGCCTCACCTCGTTTCCTGGTTTGCGACCATCGTTTATCCCTTCTGGAACAAAGACTGGCAGCTTCAGCCCAGCTCTGCCTGCCCTCCCCTCAAACCCCCGCCAACACGCCCCGCATCACATTCAAACGCATCGCAGGGAGCAACGCACACACACCGACACACACACATGCGAGGTCTCCTGCATCTTTGAGAAAAAATAAAAAGAGGGAGAGCCGGAGAAGATGGGGGAGGGAGATGATCAATAAGTGCCCAATTATTTGCTGCTCCTCAGCTTAGGGAAAATTACTACATGCAGAGATTGAAATGCATACAGAACACACGCACGTTTAATGAAAAACTACTTATCTCTGACAGCTCTGACTGAAACTGTGATGCACCAATTGCAGCTTTAAATATAAAGTTTCTTGCAAAAGAAGTAGATGCTCAGATTGCTCAATTATATACATCATAAAGCACTTTAAATCTGGTGATGCTCATGCAAGAGAATGTAAGTCTTCTGCATTTCTTTAATTAATCTCACATACAAAAAACACATTTAAATCCAAACATGTGGCCACTAGAAGAGCAGTGGTGCTGAGTCTTTGAGCCACAAATATAGATCATCTTGGACAATATTGGAAATGTAACAAGCTGCATTTCACACAGGATGGGCAAGAAATGACATTTGAACAAACATTTAAGGTTGTTTACATCTGAAAATCACCTACACTGTAGTTTTAAAAGACTAAATCTAAGGAAAATTCCAAAAGGAGAGTCCTGTCCCTCCATTGATATTATTTGCAGAAGCACTATATGTCAGAGAAATGTATTCTTAAGTCTCCCACCGGCGGACCTTGGAGGTTATTCTGGCCATGCCTTACAATCAGTCTCACTAAAAGCCCAGGCAGGTCCAGGCTGGCAGCTCTAATCTTATTAATCATCTGCCACTGTAGAGCAGAACCCATGGGTGGGGCAGGGAGACGGATGAAATGCAAGCAGAGGACCAGCAAAGGGCAAGAAACAAGCGCTTAATCCAGGTTTTAGAAGCAGAGTGGACTCAGTCAGTCTTAGGAGCCACATAAGCAAAGGTACGCTTGATTTAGACACCAACAGCAGCGATTATTTCACACAAAGAACATTAGACTCATCACACTTTCAGGTCCTAAATATGTTCAGATGCCATTCAATCAACCATTCAGCAGCGACATGATGGACCCCACATGGCTCTATCAGATCCATTTACAAACATAAAAAGCCACAATGCACCCTTTAAACAAGTAAAACCTTTGTAAATCCTCAGCACTACAAACCGTTTCACTGACAGATCCCGCTGCCTCACAGTTATTCCCAACGCAACCAAAAAGCCACAACAGGTTTTACAAGCAAATGACGGGCCTTTGTGAACAAAGTGATGCTGACAACAAAAGCCGGATGCTACAGGTGTCACTCGTGTTAAAGGATGCGACACACTTTGTAGTCGCATTGTGAAGCTCGCTGCAGTCTTCCCACAGCAGACTTTAACAGCAGTTTTGTAACATAGCCTGAATAATACCTAAGAAACAAATATACGACAAGAATAAATATGATGCAAGCTTTAAAATTAGGCAATGCAAGTTTTTATCACAGGATTCTGTAAAGGAATAAAATCAATATTGTTTTTTAAACCTCGTCCTAGATACATTTCCTAAATTTATTGAGCCTCTCTTTTGTTTACTGTGTGGTATGAAGACAAAAAAAAAAACCCCAACATGGCCTGATATGGGCAAATATCTATTGATCAAGTTACATTATTGTTAGACTACAAGAAGTTTTAATGCAAAAAAATAATCTAATTGATCAAATCCAGACGTTTGAAAAACACGTCTAGGATTAATTTCTCATAACTTAGCTCAGTACTACAAAGCTCCCAAATCTTAAATGTCAAAGCTTCCTTAAACAGACATTTAAGGAAAGTGGAGCAGAAGAGGATCACGTGACGCCCGCTGCCGTCCTGGTTTAGGATTTAGGCTGGAAGAATTATGACTCCGGACTTTTACGAGGCTCTTAAAGTTGAGGAAAGAATACGTGTGCTGTCAGGGTTGCTGAGGGCTTTGCTAAAGCCTACCTTGTGACAGAAGTGCTGGGTCGTGATGCTGAAAACATCCAGGCACAGGGAGGCCTTCTTCAGCTCCGCCTGAAGGCTCTGCAGCTGCAGGGCCTGCTGCTCGCAGCGCTCTCGCAGCTGCTGGATCAGGGCTCGGTCCAACTCCTGCGTTCTTTCTGGCCGAACGGCGGCGTGACTTGCTGCTGGTCGACCACGAACTACAGAAACACAGAGCAGGAGGGGGAAGAGTGATGAAATATTTTCACTTAGACTTGATGAAATGGTTCTGGACATTTCTATGTAAAAGTTGACAATGTGTATAAACATTGTCATAAGATCAAACAGTCACACTTCCTTATGCAATTGCTGATATATTGTCAGTAGAAAACAAGAATATGTAACGTTATAGGGCGATATCCATATCAAAGCAAACATACAAGCCGAAGTTACGGATCCATCTTGCCGACTTCCTATACCCACCTTGTTCTAACGTGCCAGAGGCTGTTACAAGGGTTTGAATGAAACGATGAAGAAACAATAGTTTTCATAATGTCTGTGAAGATTCTCAGTCATCCAGGTCATAGTTATTCTCGTGGATTAATCGTAGCAACTGGACTTGCTTGAGTTCCTTGAAGACGTTTCACCTCTCATCCTAAAGGATATCAGNCAGCTGCTAACCTGCAGTGACAGTCTGATCTTTTCAAACTCTTCTTCCAGAGATTTCCTCTGCTGTTCATGGGCCATCTTCAAATCTGACGCAAGAAAAATAAACATGTTATCATCTCTTCTGAGCTGCAGAGCGGTGAGTCAGTACAGCTTTTAAATGTGCTGCTTACTCTTCACAGTCCGTGCATGCTCCTCCTGCAGAGTGGCGAGTGTGTCGTTGTGAGCCGTCTCCATCTCCATCAAGGACTCCTCATGGTTCTCGCTCATCTCCTCAAGCTGCGGTCAAGATTTCGACAATTAACCATCACGAAAATAACTACCAAATGTTCCCTTCTGCAGATAAAAGCCCACATCCAGTCCATACAGGCACACCAGCATTGTTATACAGAAACTGCTGACTACGTGGACATATATCCAGTCTACCTGCTCTTGCTGTTTGAAACGTAGCTCCTCCAGCTCGGCTCGCTGTTGGGCCTGCAGGTTCTCGGTCTGGTCCATGTGCTGCGCCTTCAGCCGCTCCTCCAGCGCTCCCAGCTCCCTCTGCTGCTGGGCCCGCAATCCCTGCAGCTCAGCCTCAAAACGACGCTCCAGTTCCTCCTTCTCCTGCTGCAGTTGCTCCCAGTGTGCGACACTGAAAGCTGGAACACAATCGCAGCTTAGATATTTCAGCTTATTCAAATTGAGGTCATGCACAAAGCAGAAAAGAAAAGGACAAAAGTTCATTTAAGTTTCTCTTGCTATAATTGTATTGTAATGACATTTTTTCATAGTGTTAAAATGTTTGAAATGAAACAACATCAACAAAGCAGCATTTCTACAGTGTCTGCTGTATGCTGTTCGCTGTAGGACTAAATCCAGACGTCTACCAGCAGCGTGGACTCTCAGGGGTCACTTGTTCCTTCTGTCTCCTGTGTGCTGTTGTAATTCATCATGTGTCGTGAGCTGTGAGTGACTCGCTGCTTTCTGTCCTCCCTGTGGTGCCATATCTGTCACGCTTTACCCCACTTACCCACTTCATCCCTGATCCTGGCGAGCTCCAGGGACAGCTCCCTCTCCTTCACAATGGCACTCTCACTCTGAAATGCAAACACACACACACACACAGACACGGGACACGTCTCTAGTCAGTAATAAAAATAAATGTAAATGTTTTTCATTATGCCGTTCTCTGTGCTACATGCTAATGAAAGCTACAAAGCTGCCAAGACAATCAGAGTCAACACGTCCTCAGTTTGAACTCAGCGAAAGCTTCTGTGGTGTCACCCGCTTTGACTTGAGCTTCTTCTAGATGACATCCCAGCGAGCAGGAAATGTTCCCACAACGTTGGCAAACATTACTTACAAGTTCTAATAAGGTAATTTTCTAAGAAAACATTAAAATTTGATGCTCAAAGAAGGTTATAATGGTATTTCACATTTTAAATAATGTTCCCATAAGATTAAAAGTTCATTACCACAATGTTTTTATTGTAACATTCAGAAGAACGTTCATAAACTAATGTTTAAAACATGTCAAGATAATAATCAAGGCCTCAATGACAGAATGTTTTACACAAAATGTTCTTTTAATATGATGTTCTAACAAAACTAGAACCTTTTGCCTGCACTATTCTGATGATGTTTTGAGGGTGCTGTTGAGAGAACAATGTTCCATAAATGTTCTCCCAATGTTGTGTGATAAACAAAGAAAGGATTTTTCTAAATGCAACATTCTGAAAACGATTTCATTGTTCAAATAAGTTAAGAAAAGGAAATTAAAGAAAACATTACTAGAACTTTGCAGAACTTCCTCAGAACGTTTAAAGAACAAAACAGAATTCTAGCTGGGACACAGTTCAGGTGAATTAGATGAGCTTTGGATGTCAGCATTGTCACAAGATTTACACAAACATGACATGAAAACATTCATCAGGTCTCCTTACTCATAAAGGTGAGAGAAAAAAATGTAAGGTTCAAATCTAGAACCTTTAGAAGGTAGCATCTCTAAACAGTGAAACAAAGGGCTTCACTTTAAAAAAGAAGCAAGTGTGTTCACCATTTTGTTTATGCAGAATGAGGAGACAGGAACAAAGATGATTTAAACCCATATAGTTCAGATCACTGTTGGATTTATTTGTTGATTTGCTATTTCTGTTACTAAAAATGTCGTTGCAACACATGTCACAGGTGGAATAGAGCTTACATTCTGCTTTTTACTGTCATGCCATAGTATAGTTAAGACATGTTGGAACCAATCAGACCACATAATTAAGTAAAAAAAAAAAAAAACACAAGTCAGATTATATCTTGCACCAAAATCAGCACCAGCAATTTCAATTTCCTTTTCTTGGGTTAAAAATATGACAGAAGCATGAAAAGCAATAAAAATCAAAACTCTACGGACGTAACAACTTGGCACAATACCTGACACTAAATGTGTTTGCTGTCTGTCATGCTAGATACTGTTCTGTAAAAGTGTGAGCTGGTCGGATCACTGTGGATCTAGGAAGACATACAAACTGGGCACAACAGTCTTCATTCACTGACAAACATGATCATCATTTTCTGTGTGTTGAACCACAATTTCAATGTATTGCCACCACCTGACTAAAAGAAAGCGATGGTGGGTGTACTTGCAAGAGATTTACTTAAATCTAATGTAATTTATTGGAACTAAACTAACACAAAACAGAAAAGCTGTGTGGAATACAGCAGCAGCAGAGAATGGTTTGTGTCATGATTTCTGTGAAGGTGCAATCAGAAAAGAAAGTTGATGTCAGGTGGAGGGAAGAGAGCGACAGAGGGAAGTCAGTTTTTATAGCCGGGAAGGCAAATGTCAGCTCACTGCCTTCTCACAAAGGCGAAGCTGACCTTCCACACAGTGGGAGGAGCGTCACAGTGTGTTCTATAGCACTATAGATCACAGTAACTCTTACATCTAGCGAAATGCATCATGGAAGCCTGCAAGGGTCAATTTCAGCATTTGTTAAATTGTTTACAATGAAAATGTCGTCATGTATATTCAGGCCGTGTCTGGTATCCACTGGGGTCTCCTCAATATTCAGCCCAGACAGTTAAATGTGTATCGATCACGGCGCTAAACATGCAGCATAAAGGCAGCGCACACTGTTGCTTGGATGTAAAGCAGAAATCACAAAGCGGTGCTCACGAGAAACAAAGAAGCAGAGGGACGGAGAGGAGCCGGTGAAAAATGTATGAGATAGTAAAGAGTGTGTCTCGGCAGTAATGATGTCATCCTGTGAGAGGTTTAACTGGGAACACGCAGTCATCAGGAAACATGGAGGGTCCTCAGGAGGGATGACACATGGGCAGGAGCTTTTTCATTTCCTATGCCTGAGCTCCACCTCTGCTCCTACGCATCAATCCCCAGTCCTGCCCTGACCTCCCCCCCCCAACGTTTAGATCTCCAGGGAGTTAGTTGTGTGACATGTTTTCTAATTTTCACCAAGGCAACCTAATCCGTTTTAGTTTTGATATAGAATAATTATCCTCTCTGCTGCCAAATAGTGAAAAATGACCATTATAATTACCCAGAACCCAGAGATGACGACTTCCAGTTGCTTGACCAAAAGTCTCCAACTCAACAATATTCTATTTCCAATGATTTAAAACCAAAAAGAACCAAATCCTCACATTGGAGAAGTGAGCTGCAGCATTTATCCACGGCACATTAGAAACCATTAATGGATGATCAAAAACTGATGTCTATCATTCAATCGATTTATCATTTCAGCGCAGCTCATTTTAAAAAAAACATTGCTTTTTATAGTCGGGAGTGCTTATTCTCAAGGAGACGCTGTCATGAGTTAATTAACCTCCACCAAGTCTGCACCCATGCAATCAGCCCAGTTTCAGAGGGACCATAAAAAGATTCCAACATGCAGCTGCTTCTTCATTTAGATTGTCTGTGCTGAAGAGATTTAACACCCAAGAAAATGCACTTTGATTTAACAATGAAAACTGAACTTTTCTTCATTTTTTTTTTTGCAGAGGAGAGATTAAGCAACATCATGTAAACGGGAGAATAATGCATCCAATGTGAAAGTTCTGCAATCAGCCAGAATTAACCACCAGACACACACTGTTGACATGATGTACACACTGAAATAGCCAGATTGTTGTAAGAATACAAATCAGCAGCAATTCATATAATGTCCCTGCAAAATCTAAAGAGGAAAAGAAAATTGCACGGTGCGACACACAAGCCTGCTTTGACTCAGCATAATCATGCGGAGCTTTACACTCTCCACCGGCTCTGTCTCCAGGAAACAAGTGAACATAACCATCATATAGACAGAAACACTCAGACCCCCCCAACGAAACACACACACATGCGCACAACCCCACATACATAAAGGAATCCTCGGTGCTGAAACAAGCTCGCTGCCTGCAGAAGACACTGCCTTTTACCGTTTGGTCCAGACAGCACAGAGGGAGGAAATGGAGCCTACAGCAGCAGTGGCCCATACCAGGCTAGCAGATAGCAGCATCCCTTAGCCGGCTGGGGAGGCAGCAGTGACAGACGCGAGTGCCAGAAAGATACAGGAAAGAGAGGCAGAGGAGGAGGGAGGCAGGCAGGCAAAAGGGGGGGAGAAGGAGAGGGGAGGAGAGACGAGGGAAAAACCAAAGCCTCACCTCGTTTCCTGGTTTGCGACCATCGTTTATCCCTTCTGGAACAAAGACTGGCAGCTTCAGCCCAGCTCTGCCTGCCCTCCCCTCAAACCCCCGCCAACACGCCCCGCATCACATTCAAACGCATCGCAGGGAGCAACGCACACACACCGACACACACACATGCGAGGTCTCCTGCATCTTTGAGAAAAAATAAAAAGAGGGAGAGCCGGAGAAGATGGGGGAGGGAGATGATCAATAAGTGCCCAATTATTTGCTGCTCCTCAGCTTAGGGAAAATTACTACATGCAGAGATTGAAATGCATACAGAACACACGCACGTTTAATGAAAAACTACTTATCTCTGACAGCTCTGACTGAAACTGTGATGCACCAATTGCAGCTTTAAATATAAAGTTTCTTGCAAAAGAAGTAGATGCTCAGATTGCTCAATTATATACATCATAAAGCACTTTAAATCTGGTGATGCTCATGCAAGAGAATGTAAGTCTTCTGCATTTCTTTAATTAATCTCACATACAAAAAACACATTTAAATCCAAACATGTGGCCACTAGAAGAGCAGTGGTGCTGAGTCTTTGAGCCACAAATATAGATCATCTTGGACAATATTGGAAATGTAACAAGCTGCATTTCACACAGGATGGGCAAGAAATGACATTTGAACAAACATTTAAGGTTGTTTACATCTGAAAATCACCTACACTGTAGTTTTAAAAGACTAAATCTAAGGAAAATTCCAAAAGGAGAGTCCTGTCCCTCCATTGATATTATTTGCAGAAGCACTATATGTCAGAGAAATGTATTCTTAAGTCTCCCACCGGCGGACCTTGGAGGTTATTCTGGCCATGCCTTACAATCAGTCTCACTAAAAGCCCAGGCAGGTCCAGGCTGGCAGCTCTAATCTTATTAATCATCTGCCACTGTAGAGCAGAACCCATGGGTGGGGCAGGGAGACGGATGAAATGCAAGCAGAGGACCAGCAAAGGGCAAGAAACAAGCGCTTAATCCAGGTTTTAGAAGCAGAGTGGACTCAGTCAGTCTTAGGAGCCACATAAGCAAAGGTACGCTTGATTTAGACACCAACAGCAGCGATTATTTCACACAAAGAACATTAGACTCATCACACTTTCAGGTCCTAAATATGTTCAGATGCCATTCAATCAACCATTCAGCAGCGACATGATGGACCCCACATGGCTCTATCAGATCCATTTACAAACATAAAAAGCCACAATGCACCCTTTAAACAAGTAAAACCTTTGTAAATCCTCAGCACTACAAACCGTTTCACTGACAGATCCCGCTGCCTCACAGTTATTCCCAACGCAACCAAAAAGCCACAACAGGTTTTACAAGCAAATGACGGGCCTTTGTGAACAAAGTGATGCTGACAACAAAAGCCGGATGCTACAGGTGTCACTCGTGTTAAAGGATGCGACACACTTTGTAGTCGCATTGTGAAGCTCGCTGCAGTCTTCCCACAGCAGACTTTAACAGCAGTTTTGTAACATAGCCTGAATAATACCTAAGAAACAAATATACGACAAGAATAAATATGATGCAAGCTTTAAAATTAGGCAATGCAAGTTTTTATCACAGGATTCTGTAAAGGAATAAAATCAATATTGTTTTTTAAACCTCGTCCTAGATACATTTCCTAAATTTATTGAGCCTCTCTTTTGTTTACTGTGTGGTATGAAGACAAAAAAAAAAACCCCAACATGGCCTGATATGGGCAAATATCTATTGATCAAGTTACATTATTGTTAGACTACAAGAAGTTTTAATGCAAAAAAATAATCTAATTGATCAAATCCAGACGTTTGAAAAACACGTCTAGGATTAATTTCTCATAACTTAGCTCAGTACTACAAAGCTCCCAAATCTTAAATGTCAAAGCTTCCTTAAACAGACATTTAAGGAAAGTGGAGCAGAAGAGGATCACGTGACGCCCGCTGCCGTCCTGGTTTAGGATTTAGGCTGGAAGAATTATGACTCCGGACTTTTACGAGGCTCTTAAAGTTGAGGAAAGAATACGTGTGCTGTCAGGGTTGCTGAGGGCTTTGCTAAAGCCTACCTTGTGACAGAAGTGCTGGGTCGTGATGCTGAAAACATCCAGGCACAGGGAGGCCTTCTTCAGCTCCGCCTGAAGGCTCTGCAGCTGCAGGGCCTGCTGCTCGCAGCGCTCTCGCAGCTGCTGGATCAGGGCTCGGTCCAACTCCTGCGTCCTTTCTGGCCGAACGGCGGCGTGACTTGCTGCTGGTCGACCACGAACTACAGAAACACAGAGCAGGAGGGGGAAGAGTGATGAAATATTTTCACTTAGACTTGATGAAATGGTTCTGGACATTTCTATGTAAAAGTTGACAATGTGTATAAACATTGTCATAAGATCAAACAGTCACACTTCCTTATGCAATTGCTGATATATTGTCAGTAGAAAACAAGAATATGTAACGTTATAGGGCGATATCCATATCAAAGCAAACATACAAGCCGAAGTTACGGATCCATCTTGCCGACTTCCTATACCCACCTTGTTCTAACGTGCCAGAGGCTGTTACAAGGGTTTGAATGAAACGATGAAGAAACAATAGTTTTCATAATGTCTGTGAAGATTCTCAGTCATCCAGGTCATAGTTATTCTCGTGGATTAATCGTAGCAACTGGACTTGCTTGAGTTCCTTGAAGACGTTTCACCTCTCATCCTAAAGGATATCAGTATCTGGAACTCCCAACTTGTCAGTCAGAACTGATGAAGCCTCTTGGATGAGAATAAAACAGCCAACAGCCATCACCTTGAAGAACAAGTCTGACTGACTCACTGACTGACTGATTATTATTGTTGTATATATATGTTAAATTGATATTAAAAAAAAAAAAAAAAGTGAGCTTTTTACAATATTGAATTTCCCTTCTGGGATAAATAAAGTATTTTTCATTTTCATTTTTCATTTCATTTCATTAAACCCGCAGGCAAACCCATTGGTATTTGTTCATTTATAAAACTATCGTAGGTCAAACTCCGCCATACCTACGTTCACTACTCATCACCCGTCACATCAGCCGCTCACTTCGCAACAGCAACCTCATCTACCTCCTCATCCCCAAAGCCCGCACTGTCTTTGGCCGATATTCATTTCAGTTTTCTGCAGCCCTCGACTGGAACCACTTACAAAAAACAATCAAACTCAGTGTATTTATATCTGTATCTTCTTTTAAAAATATGGTGAAGCAACTTTTTATCGAGTCCTGTACCTGCTTTGAGTGTATTTTATCTTCAAAGACTTTTATTGTTATGTTTTGTTTGTGTATTGTTTTCTTATGGATGTATTGTATTTTCTGCTCTGTGCTGCCTCTTGGCCAGGTCGTTATTGTAAATGAGAACCTGTTCTCAATTAACCTACCTGGTTAAATAAAGGAAAAATAAATAACTAAAAACTGAAAGCTAATGTCCTCATATTCTGTTGTTCGATGGCTGTGCAGCATGAAATTAACTGATAAGTAATAAATTGCTAGAAGCATCTGTCAAGGAAAATACTAAACATTCATTCATTCCAGTTACTAAATTATGAGGATTTTCTGCTATTTAATGTTAAACATGACTGTAAATTGAATATTTATTGGTTTGGGGCTGTTGGTAAAACAAACTGTAGTAACAAAATGTGCTTTGCTTTACTCTCTCAGCTGACATGCACACAAACACATTAACTGCTGATTGCTCGGAGCCTCAGTGGTTTATCTACACCCACAGTGACAAACGGTCTTTCCAACTCACTGTTACTCAAGTCGGCTTGGACCAATCAGCAGCTTCCTCCCACAGCCGTGAACACTTTGCCAGCATATATATCTATTTTATATACAGTATGGATCCTGTCCTGGACTCTACACACAGCTGTTTTTTCTGTCTGCCTGGCCTCTGAGAAAAGCACAAATTGCTGACTTGTAATGTTGTAATCTGAGCCAGCGGGATTGCTGCTGCTGAAGGAGCCATTCTAGCATTTGAGCTACCGTGGCTTGTTGCTATGACAACATCGGGCTGCCATGGGTGAAGTCTGGGAATGAAGTGTGGAGAGAGAGAGAGAGACGGGCAGAGAGCGACTGCAGTTTTTAAAGGTACAGTAAGAGCTGACGGCGTTGCATTATTGACGACTGCCTCCTTCTTTTGTACCACTTGGGAACGAGCCAAAGACGTAACATGAGACTTGTACAGCACCGTGTGTTAACATGTATGCAGTTTGATGTGCTTGACCTACCCGGGGACTGGGGCTTGGGCGAAACCACTGCAAATCTTTTAGGGGAGGACTTTGGTGACAGCGCAGACTCTGTGTCCTTCTGCAAATCTTTCCGAGAGGCTGCAAAGAAAAGACAAACGTCAATACAATTTACAATGCACATATTTAAAACACAACAAAAAGGGCTACACGTCTTATCTTAACTGACATTAATGAACATTAGTTCATTTATACTACTGCTGCACTGCCTTCAGATAATTATACTTCACTCTTTTACTTAAGTTAGATTCCTGCAATTTTTACGCACACGTGTACTTTTGGGTCATTAGTGCACAAGTGTTAAGTGGAAATCTTTGATTCTGCAACTCAGTGCTGCACTGTGTAAAACCTAAAAGTCTGAACCCACAAAGGGTATTCTAACGAAAGAATCTCAGAAAGAAAAATAAATTTTTGTCTCGAAAGCATCAACACAACATAGGGAACTAGTGAGAAGACAGTTCGGTGATGTTCACTGTGGTACAGTGGCCACTAGCTGGAGTAGCTGCTCCACTTGCTCACACAGATTCTGTAGCAGGAAGCTGAAGCTGCTCCCAGCTCCCACACAAGTACAGTGTGCGGCCACTGGATGGAGTCGATGCTCCACATTCACTGCAAATGTGCCAACATGGGCAACAATGTGCATCACCTAACAACAACGATGCCTACATGAGCAGAGAGGGAGTTTCCTGTGAGGCTGCATCACTGCTGTGACGCGAGGCTAAGCAACTGTATGGATGCACTGCTCAGATGGTAGGTTAAGAGCTTTTCATGTTGTATTGCTTTGTCTTAAAATCTCAATTAATTAAGACATTCAACAGGGAAACTGTGATGACATTAAGTGCACGCTAAGTCTAATCTCGGTCTCCATGTAAAGTATGTTTTTTGCAGAACTTTCTTTTTATCGATACAAAAAGCTGTGATAAAAGTCCAAAACTAAAATACTTCCTGGCTCAGTTCATGTCCATATCTCTCTTCTGGCGTTCTCTGCTAAACACTAAAAACTCCTGTGGTGAAAGGTTTCTGTTTTGTCTGTCAAGTGTTGGACTCCATGCTACATGTGTATGTACAGATACCAGCACTGGAGGAGACAAGAGACACTCTTTGTCATCTGTTAGGATACCTGACAAACACAAAGGTTTATAATGCCCTGACGGCGATCCTAGGCTTGAAATGTTAGAAACTAATAAAGTAGTTTAAGAAAGGGCTTTGCTTTGACCTTGTGGTGTGCTTTTTAAAATTTTACATGTAGAGTAACTCTCATAGGTGCTACTTTTTTTTAAATTTTCAGGCAGGTTCAGTTCCTGCTCTTTTATACAACTTAATAAAAACTCCAGTATCCTTAGACAGAAACAGTAGTCTGTCAATAGCAGTGCTGTCATTAGAGAAGTGGGAATTTCCACTGACTCATACTGAGGAATGAATATGAACATGTGAGCTATCAGTCGTGCTGAAAGTAATTCCAACGCTAAGCATCTCCTGCTAAGACCTCTGCCAGCACACGCTCACACATCTAATCATGTGGGTCATGTGATGGAGTGACCTTGACCTCTGATCTGGAGATTAAAGCAACAACAACAACACACACAACAATCGAGCACTGGATGCTTGTTTTTGCTGGCTGTGTCGTACCGAGCGGGGAGCAGGGCTGTGGCGGCAGACTGCGGCGCTGGAGGCTGGGGGCGTTGGGAGGCTGAGGCCGAGCATAGGGGGCTTTGCTGGGAGGTGCCATGGCTTTTTGCAGAGGTGTGTCATCACTGCCGCTGCTGGGATCTACAGAGAAGGAAGGACATCATCAGAGAGCAGACAAATGTACTCAGTAAGTAGCAAAAGGTTGCTATTTAGAGATGTATGAAGCTTTTTCATACACATAACCTCATGCTGAGTTTCTCACCTCTTGAATCTGATCATGTTTAGCCAGTTTTTATGAGACACATATGCACTGTGCAGGTTTTGACACGTTTTACAGTCAATCAGACATTGTTAAGCCTCGTCTGTCTATTTTTTTATTTTATTTTTTGCAGGTATGTAAAAGCTTGGTGACTGTTCCGAGTGTTCCAGCTTTCTGTGCAGTGCATGCTGGGACATGCTTCAGCTCCGGTTCCCCCTCAATGGGATCAATTAGGGCCATATGAGTAGAGAAGGTGCTGCTCTGCTTTCAAGCGCTCCATGTTTCTAGTTATTTTTGTTTCTTAGGTGCAAGTAAGGGTAAAAAAAACGTCAGCACTTGCCTACATCTGAGTGCATTAATGTGCAATGAGATGTACTATATTGGGAAGCACTCTGCTAAGCAAACTCTAAAGCCTGATCTGGTACCTTACGATACACCACAATAACAAGTGTGCAGTATGTCTTTGCCTATAGACTTGATTATGCTCTTAATACCGTATTGTTGTCTATAACAAAGAATATAAAGTCCTCCAAGTGTAGCAATAAATGACCGGGTTGTTTTTCTTTTGCAGTTTTAGCATCAAGCATCAGCAGATTACTATCTTTCCTTGGAGAGTTTTTCTAAACTGCAGATATTCACCAAGAATAGCAAAGAACCAGAGAGCCGTAAACATCCTAATTATTCATAACATCTTATTACGCCTCCAGCTGCTGCGGAGATGAAAGGCTTTGATTCATAGACAAACTAAAAGGCTGTAGCAAGAACGGTGCAACAGAAACATCGCCAAATACATTTTCTTCAAACAGCCAGGAAGAAATCCACATGGACGTCACATGTTAAAGTCTTTCTGTCTTTGTTTTGCTTTCGAACATCTCTCTGAGATGAAATCTGAACAGTTTAAAAGGAATTGCATCACTCCGTACACACATCACCATTGAGGTTTTCTTAGTGTAAGTGAAGAGTCACAAACCAAGCAGCTCTAATTACTTATAAAATATTCAGCTCTTCAGTCAATGGCAGAGCTGACCCAGGCTGCAACTACTGGTAACATTCAAACAGGAAAGAAGGACCGTTTCCCCTTGAGTTAAAATATTATTAAAGGCTGAATAAGTCAGACGATGATGCAAGGAGGCTGGAATCACAGATAACACAAGCTGTTATAGTAAAATGTACAATATGGTGTCACACTTTAGCTGCGCTAGGCCCAAAATCACAATAGACGGAATAACAAATTGATTAAAAAGAGAATATTAAACCACTTTTGATGTCAAGATGCCCAGGGCTTATGTGAAACCTCCAGTGTGATCACAGCCACTGTTCTCACTGCGGCAGAGTCTGAATCCACCTGGGAGAGTCAGCAGATTGTTTTTTTTGTTTTTTTCTTCAAAGGCGTCTTACTGAAATGGAGAGCGAGCCAAGAAGCAGATTGGCTGAGGGAGACGGCTGGAGGCTGACTCACACTGCTAAACGCTTGTTTCTAGTGTGCATGTACAGTACAAATCCACCCCCCGCAGCCAGCATCCTCTGATCAGCAGCAACAAGCTTCGAGGACTCTGCTCTGCCGGTGACTCATTCACAAGAAGTCAGGACACACAGGTTGGCAATATTAGAGAGAAGTATTTGTTTTGCGTTAACAATCAGGGTTCCTTATTTTATGGTAATTACTGCATGCACAGTTCTCATATTGTAAATTAATTCATTTTTATCTAAATTAAAATGTGCTAATTAGGCTCTTAAATTCAGGTAGATATTGTGTGAATAACCTCTGGTATTTGTCGTCTTTTTTGAGAGATCAGTTAGATATAATTACATTTTATTCTCAAACAGAAATGATAGTCTAAGGTATAGACTATTTAACTGGACTACAAGTAAAAACATGAAGCAAGATATTATACAGAAAAATGAAACAGCTCTGCAATCACAGGTCTTTATTAAATCTATTTAGATGAAAAAAAACCAAAACAATGAAAATATCCCTTTCAGTCACCTCAGGGGTTATGTATATTTTAGACTTATTAGAAATTTATGTTTATGTTTTATTTATTTTCATTCTTGTATTGCGGGTTTCTACTAACCGAGTGATGACCTGTCTGGAGTCCCAGCTTTCTGTGCAGTGCATGCTGGGACATGCTTCCCTTGTGACCCTCAGCAGGATCAGTTATGAGCATATATAAGGCTGCTGTGCTTTCAAGCTCTCCATGTTTCTACTTATATTTGTGTCTTAGGTTCAAATAAGGGGTAAGAATGTACCGCACCAGACTACATCTGGATGCATTAATATGCAATGAGATGTACTATACTGGGAAGTACTCTGCTATGCACACTCTAAAGCCTGATCCCTGGGAACCATACAATACACCACAATAATTATGAATAAAAAATAAAAAAATATAGCTCCCTTTGCTTTTGAGTTTGTTTTTTTTTTTTTGATATATTGTTGTCTTTTTACTGACATTACCTGTCAGATTAGGTTTTTCTTGTATGATTTTTTTATGCTGAGTTGAAATCTCTGCAACTCAGGAGATTTTTCTACATATATTTAGCCTTTTTCACAAATTGTTATGATGGGTATCCATGGCAACGGAAAAATTGTCTACAACCGTGATCAACTGTTTTTAATTGAATTTCCCTTCTGGGATAAATAAAGTATTTTTCGTTCATTTTCATTCATTCATTCATTTCATGAGTCTGGATAAAATTATATTTTATTCTCAAATAGAAGTGCTAACTAAGGTAAGGACTGTTTAACTGGACTAAGATATTAAACAGTGAAATTGAAACAGCTCTGCACTCACAGGTGTTTATTAAATCTAGTAACTAGTAACTAGAAGCTCCACCAAAAAGGAGTAAGGCTGTAACTCATTATCAGTTCTTATGTTATTTTGAATAAACTGGTGCGTCGACAAAATGTCAAAAACATTCTGAAAAAGTGAAAATGGCCATTACTATTCACAAAATCCCACGCTGATCCGTTCAAATTGCTTGTTTTGTCTCAGCGATAACAGCAAATCCTCAAATATGATAATCTGGAAACAAGGAATGTTTTACCAGATGAATAATTTCAAAGCTTAATTATTTGCAAATGAGCAACTCAATCAGTCACTTCCTTCAACAGTCATACACTGTGTCATTCAAAATGCTTTCAAGATGATTTAAAATCCAGACGCTTTGAGTGCAACTAACTAATTCGCTGTAGCTCCCACAGAGCTTAACCCTCATATTATAAGGAGCACACAGCACACATGAGCAAGCTGTGGCTCCTCCTGGGCCAACCGGACAAACAAACCGATATGTCACCAGTTGCTCGGAGTTCATTATAGCATCCTCTTCCCTGAAAGCACCCGCTCACTCCCAGTCAAAACACTTTGCTGGTAGTGAATGTGGCTGCATTTGAGGCATATGGCAGCGACTAATAGAGCAACGATGCCTGAGCCAACTGCCTGAAGGGAAACATTGCTATACAAGCTGCCGGTCGTGTATACGCTGTCTGAGCTGCTCCCGAGTGGTTCACTATCACGCCCATCTCATCACTGTGGCACAATTACAATTAGACGTTTTGCTGAAAAGAAAAACAGCAAATCTGTAATTGGCTTATATTTTTGAAAAGAGTTCTAAACAATGCAATGCACAGACCATGTAAGTATAGAAACAACTTCAGGAGCCTGAAGGTAAAAATAAAAGACTATTTCCTGGGTGGACTGCAGCACAAGTTTGAGGCAAGAAGGACTGGTAGACGTGACGGAGGGAAAAATAACTCCGCAGATGTCAAACTGTACCGTAACTCTTTGTTTTGACGTCAATTTTCAGATGATAAATCGTGAAGAAAAGACTGCTGCTAATAAATGAAGCAGTTACTGTCACAGAGGCTGCAAGAGACAACAGCTGTTGTGTGTTTCCAGTCTGAAAACTCATCCTTCATCAGCAGTGTAAAGGGGGAGGGTCCCCAGCATTAACAGCATTAATCTTCAATTATATGTGTCAATCAGCACAGTCAGCCCATACGCCACAGACACTGGTATGCATTTTTTCTTTACATCATTCCTCATTTTCTCTCATCATTTATCATTAACTTGTTCCCTCTTGCCCCTCTTCTTTAACAGGAGGATCTCTCTTCCCCCAGCAGCAACCTAAGTCCTGTGTTGTTGTTTGCAATTCCTGCTTGAGTAATTAATTATCAGTTGAGTTTAGAGTCACTGGCAGCCCAATTTAAAGTTTTGGCTCCATTAGTTTATCTGATCGGCTTTAGTTTAGGGGAGAAGCCGAATCCAAGAGCAACCGTGGCACGGTTCAGGGGCCTTCTCCCACNAAGGTGCTGCTCTGCTTTCAAGCGCTCCATGTTTCTAGTTATTTTTGTTTCTTAGGTGCAAGTAAGGGTAAAAAAAAACGTCAGCACTTGCCTACATCTGAGTGCATTAATGTGCAATGAGATGTACTATATTGGGAAGCACTCTGCTAAGCAAACTCTGAAGCCTGATCCTGTACCTTACGATAACAAGTGTGCAGTATGGCTTTGCCTATAGACTTGATTATGCTCTCAATTATGCTCTTAATACCGTATTGTTGTCTATAACAAAGAATATAAAGTCCTCCAAGTGTAGCAATAAATGACCGGGTTGTTTTTCTTTTGCAGTTTTAGCATCAAGCATCAGCAGATTACTATCTTTCCTTGGAGAGTTTTTCTAAACTGCAGATATTCACCAAGAATAGCAAAGAACCAGAGAGCCGTAAACATCCTAATTATTCATAACATCTTATTACGCCTCCAGCTGCTGCGGAGATGAAAGGCTTTGATTCATAGACAAACTAAAAGGCTGTAGCAAGAACGGTGCAACAGAAACATCGCCAAATACATTTACTTCAAACAGCCAGGAAGAAATCCACA